CCAGTTTTATTGAATTTAACTTTCCAGGAATATCCATTAACTTAATTAATTTTGTGAAAATACCATCCATACATTATTTAATCTAAAATGTTTTCAATTATAAGATACACAATCATTTTACCTACCACTAATAAAAACAAACAAAATACTCCCAACTCTAATAGCAAGGAGACATGAACTGAAAGGTGCATCCTGATTTCAGGAATATTAAAATATGAAAAACTGTATGTTTTGAATTTATAAAATACAAAACAATTACCACCACAGTTTTACCATAAATTTCCAATTACAGTGTATATATATATTTATACAAAGTTACTTTTATGATACTTTTAGGCAAAGGGATACTGTGCTATATATTTAACGTACAACAATGACTGCATGTTTTCAAAAATATTCTGAGAGCTTTAAAAGATGTCCTGCTAGAATGGACTCCCAAAAATCAGAACTTTGTCTATTTTGTATGTACCCCAAGTACCTACATGGAGATACAATAAATATTTCTTATGTGAATTTGTGAGTGAATTCATGTTTTATTAGAGATGCCATGTATCTGTTTGAAGCAAAATCCAATGAAACAAATAGGAATTATTAATTACTGAGCTCTCCATATGCCAGCTTATGTTTTTCAGATATCTTGTCCTTCTTACAGTATAGCTTCTCAAGACTGCCTTTGTTTTCTTTTTTTGCCAACTTCTTTCCATTTTGTAAGTATTCAATTATTAGGAAGACTTTTATAATTCAGTGATGTTTCCAATAATGTTTTGTGAATTGCCATGAAAAAAAAATTCAGTGATTTAATTAATCATTTATGGCTATCCATACATGTACACTTAGAAAGTTAAAAGGGGAAAATAATTTAATCTTAAAAACTGCTTTGTAGTAATACACTTAGCCCACCTGGCAACAAACAAGTAGAGATCCGTAGGCCAAATATGGAAACAAATAATTTAACAGTGAGACCAAATTTGTAGGGTCTGATTTTATTCTCTTTCTTGCTTTTCCTCCATTTCTAAGACATCTCTGTGGCTTTGGTGATGGTTGATTACAAATTTATTCTTATGTGACAGATGCCATTTAGAAAAATCTTCCTAAGTTACCAATCCAATAACATTTGCAATCTCAATAGTTATATCATATTTAATTTAAGCCTAATACAAAGTCATTCTGATGTCAAAGGCAGAATATCACAGTAGCTAAGGACATAGCCTCTGAAACTAGGATCTCTGCACTTGAAATTTATCTGGCTCTTGTTAGTTATATGGACATGGAAATTTAGTTTATTCTTTTCTGCCCTATTGTCACCCTTTTCATGCAATTTGTATACCTCTTATATATTTTGTGTAAGGATTAAATTAGTCAGCAATTGTAAAATCCTTAACAGGTCAGGTCAAATACTAGATGCTGGTGATGGTTTCTCTGTTTTTCCCTCCAGATTGAGTGTGTTCTTCACTGTCCTACTCTGTGACCTGGGAGGCTGACCTTCATGATCTTCATTACTTGGACCCTCTTGCCATTTGATTTAAAGTTGGATTTGCAACTGCAGACAATGAAATGAGATGAAAAGACAGGAGGAGTGACATTGGGATAACCCCTCCCCCATTTTCCCACTGCCTGATTGTGGTTTTGGCATTATCTTTCTCTATTCCCTTTCTATACCAAAGGTCGCAGCTATGATGGTGGTCTATTTCCTATGGTCTAGCTACTGCCAGGTGTGTTACTACTGCTCCCTCCCAATGTCCCATCAGACACCAGGCTTGTCAAGGCTTGCTGTGTATCTAGCGCCTGGCGCTTCAACCTCCCTTGCTGATTTTCTTTACTGTATTTACATTCTCTGTTAATAATCCCTTTACTCAACTATCCTCAATCAACCCTCTGAGTATACCATTGATTTGCTCATAGGCTCATAAACGATATAGTACTGAATTATTTAGTTTAAGATAAATATTAGATTATTTCCTTCAAGTCAATGAAGTATCGTTAACAGTGATAACATTAGGAGTTTCAAATCTTAGGTAAGAAAAATTGATTTTATTAACCTGTGTCATGGGTAGCATAAATTTCCTAAGAATTAAAGAGGGTGTGTGTGTGTGTGTGTGTGTGTGTGTGTGTAACTGGGACTAGACTGCAGCCAGAACAAAATAAAGGCTGATAGACCTTTCCTCAGAAGTTTTACAGATTGTCCTTCCCATCTATTTCTCCCTTCTCAAGTGTTGGAATCCACAGGGGTGCTGTTTGAGTGGCCAAATCAAGTCAAATATAGAACAAATCTGAATTTCCAAATTTAGTGGGCATATTGGAGTTGCTGGGTGGGTTGAGGAAAGAGTGATCCTCACTGTTGGGTGGAAGAAGCTTATAAGACCATATAACTAAAAACTAGACCTGAAAGGTGCTTGTAGGAACAATTAAGAAGGTCATGGTTAGTTTCCATTCAAGTAGGAATTACAGGAAGAGCCAGGAAGCCTGAAAATTATTAAGTACAGTGGCTGTATACTGTGGGAGTATAATAAGTGTAACAACCTTTTACTCAGTTGCGCACCTAATTGATAAATCTATATTGCATCTCAGAGGACTTGGAGGAAACAGATTGTTTCTATACTTCCATCCACAGACCATATTCTGGATCTGTGCATGGCTGAGCTTGCAGGAAACAGAGACCATTATGAGTCATAAAGGTGAGACTGGGGCATAGAGGCATTAACACTGTATGAAGCAACACAATTTCTTGTATAAAACAGCAATGTTTTTTTTTCAGCCTGTAAAGAAATTTAAAATAATTGGCTTTCCCTATATAACTCACTTTCATCTAATTCAGAGTTAAGCATTTCCAACTCTAAAGTCAAGTAAAATCCTATAAATATGTCAATTCTCACACTTATCACAATGGGAGTACAGAGATTATAATATAATGTTAAGAGGAGGTTACGAGATCTGAAGTCAGACTTCCTGGATTTGAATCCCAACTCTCTGCTACTTACTCTCCCTGTAGTCTTCCACATTTTTTTCAACCTCTGCATATCTCATTTTCCTCTACCACATTCTTACGATCAGAATACTATCTATTTATTGGAAATACTGTGAGAACTGAATAAGTTTATACATGCAAACAAATTAGTAGAATACGTATCACGTAGTAAACATTGAATACATCTTAGCTTTTTTGTTATATGTGTCTCTCCCCAACCAGATTATATACCTACCTTGAGGTATGGATATACTTGTAAGATGAATAATACAATAGGTATTATTGATTACCAAGTCTACCATATGATTAATACTAAATATTTTCTTAATGACCAAACAAGGTTAACTTGCCTTAAAATATGAATCTCAAAGACAAAAGCAAAGCATATATATTGTCTTTTATTTCAGTTGTCAGTTGCATTTTCTTGTTAATCACTACAGAACAGACTGTTAATAGTTTACTGCACTTTAAATTTCTGTGTGTTTTTCCCCAGTATTAACACATCAATGCAAATGCATATCTATACCCTTGGGTACATATAGCAGCACCTTCACATTTAAGTTTTGATTTTGTTTGTTCATAGTTTAATTATTTGCCAAAAAGTGAAAATCATATTAAACAATAACCAGTAATAAATTGTAAGCATCAATAAGGAGGGGTGGTAAACTACTCATTTATATCCTTTTATAGAGACTATCACAGATTTTTTTTTATACCATGAAATATAGTGAGTCTACTTAATTTGTACTAAACAATGCACAAAGGGCAGCCAATGCTATTATAAACTTTGATAATCATCCAATTAGCATCAACATATAAAAAAGACAGTTTGCTTCTCCTGTTTACTAATTCTGCATAATTCTGCAATTGTTTTAGTCTATAAGAAACACTTTCCCACATATCATTAAAAAACAAGTAGCATTTCCTGAAGGAAAAAAAAGTTAAGAACTATGGACTGTTAGGTTTCAAAATGTACTCTAAAGTAGCACAAGGCCAACCTCACTGAAATAGCCAGGGGGAGCGCATGTCTTCATGCTTTATGGCATTTACACAGTACCTATTTGAGAATTTTACTGTTTAAGAATAATTCTGTTACTGTCTTATTTTATGGTTATTATGGGAGAAAATAATTTATAAATTAATAAAATTTACTATTTATTGGTTTTTCTAACAAGTGAATGGAATTACAGTACAGGTTTCATAAGTATAACCCGTTTAATATTCACAGAATCACTAGATAAGAGCTAAAAGACAAAATAATATTTATTTCATTCATTAGTTTACCCAGTAATTAGCACTGAACTTGAATACAGTTGATAATCAATAAATATTTATTAAACAATTGGATGGCCTTTCTTTTGAAGTAGATCCTAACTGAAAAAGTGTTGACTTAGTTTATTGCTAACGTTTCAGTATTACTGAATGTACAACTTTGATCAAATCAACCTTTGGCACAATTACCTACATTTTTGCATACTCTGGGGCAGTGGTTGGCAAACTGCGGCTCTGCAAACCGTGGCTCGCGAGCCACATGCGGCTCTTTGGCCCCTTGAGTGTGGCTCTTCCACAAAATACCGGCTCTTCCACAAATTACCGACTTCAATCGCACTGTACGTGTACGCCCACACGTGGTATTTTGTGGAAGAGCCACACTCAAGGGGCCAAAGAGCCGCATGTGGCTCGCGAGCCGAGGTTTGCCGACCACGACTCTAGGGTTTCAGTGAGAGAATGCCTGAGGGATACCTTCACTTTACCATGTGTAAGAAACTGTAGAAGGAGGGAATTCAAGCCTAAAATGTTTATGAAGGTGACTGACAAAAAGTAGTGCAATTTAAAGAAGAGCCTGCAAAAACCTGATTCTGATCCACATAAATTGAAGGCTAGAAAACATAACCATTGAAAATATTTTAGAAAGAGCAGAGCCAGTATTTGCTGAAGCTCTTTTAAGATTATGACACCAGTTAATAACACATAAAGAAATGAAGAATACATTAACCTCTAGAAGCCAAAACCACAAGGCTCGGGTCAGACTTACCAGCACGGTCACCACGCGGAGGACCACGCCGCGCATGTTATTCTCCAGTTTCTTGTCAGTCAGCGACCCGTTCAGCCCTGTGACAGGATTCCAGCACCCAAGCTGGAAGATAAAATGGCTTGGTCACTTTTCCGCCTGAAGAACAATCCAGTCACCTGTGTATATAGACCCTCCAGAGAACTTTGTGATAGATCTTGGAATAACTGATACAGGAAGGGTCCTCTGCAGGCTTTCTTTTTTTACCAGCAAATGAGCGATCAAAAACACTATTTCCTGCTTTTACGTATCATCACAGGGCATACGACAGGACCGGACGTGCTTTAGGAGACTTGTTGAAGATATCTGACTTCATGAGAAGTTACAAACACACCAATAACAGTCCCAGGAATACACTAATTGGAAAAATAATAGCGCATGTAATTCTAGCATAATGTCAGTTCTAATAGATCAATTACTGCACAAGTTAGCTTTTTTACAGTTTCAATGGTTTTAATTACATCTTACACTGCTTTTATTGGGGGAAAAACAAGAAGATTTTTAATGTGGTTAAAAGGATTACTGCTTTTATTTGAGTAAAAGTCATGTATATGGCTTTGTCGATTTCAAATATTCACAGTACATAAAACAATATAATTTGCTTTTTTTTTTGTCAGTGCTATCAATTTACTTGGGTAATTTTGGCAGCAGCCTTCCCCTTAGTCTTGCCATGATTCACTGCTCTTTACTCTTCAAAATACTAGTTTAATTTTACATCTTCATGTAGTTCTTATCTCTTGTAATATCAAACTCTGAGGACTACCAGCTTTGAAATTACTACCTATAAATCACAACAGGATAAAAATGGATGACTCTCAATTCGGAAATAAGAAGAAAAGAGAGATGCGGTGACTTGAATGAGCAGATAACTGCTCGAGAAGCAAAGCTGCAAAGAGAACGTTGTAATGTATATCTTGGGGAGAAATGTCATGCCATTAATCCTGATGCCAGATCCATGAGCTTTCACATTTGGATGCTTTGAAAATGTGACCAACCTTCAGTCATATTCAGAGACGTTTGGATTAACTGAATGGTTTGTAGGGGCACATGGTGATTTGTGCTGCTTCCTTTTAAAGACTGTGATTTATTTCCTTGTATTGCATTTTATTTGTGGTTTCCAAAATCAATACACTGGCAACTATTCCTAACAAATAAATGCTTTAGGTGCTTTCCATTAAAACTGTATTTTCTCTTTGAGCTCCCCAAAAGGAGTTAAATTAAGAAAACTAAAGTGCATATAATACAGGGAGGGGCAAAAGCAGATTAACGGTTGTTCATATGGGAAATAATACAATAATTAATAAATGATAATACAAGAATAAACTCTGTGTTTTGCATGTTCACAACTGTAAGCCTACTTTTACCCCACCCTGTATATCTTAAGAGAAAGGGATGCCACAATATAAACAAAAAGTCAGCATTTTTCTTATTAAAATAATTTGGAAAATGCTGCTGATTTGTTGGTTTCAACTGTAAAAGCATATTAAATTCATACAATGATATGTCATTCTTTATTACACAAAATGTCTAATTAGAACAGATCCAATTAGCAAATCCAAATGTGTTGGAAGTCTAATTATCAGCGATATTGTAGTCCTCTTGCCAATGTTAAAAACTCATGAAATTTCTTTTGAGCTTTTGTTCTCTTCTGAGGTCAACCAAATTCTATCCTCAATTATATTCCTTGATATGTACTTTTTCTAATTATGTTTTTAAGATTTCATTTTCCTAGACCAAATAGTATTCATGAAAAATGTGATCTACAATATTAAGAGAGGATCTAAATTTCTAATGTGCTATCTGTTAGGTCGCCAAAGGAGGAACGCACAAGGCCAGAGTGGTGAGGGATTACAAATTTATTCCATCATCTGCACACCAGTGAGGGGATTCAGTGGCTGTGAAAGGACTTTTGGCAGGATTTTTCTGTGCAGAGACTTCTTTATGCATACCCGGAGGGGAGAGAATGAAATGTAGTCACCGCAAGTGAAAAGTGGTCTTCAGCAAAGGGAATGTCCATAGTGAAATGACCTGAAAAGCCAGTTCCCAGGGGAAGGGTATCAACTCAATTGCTCTATCAAACCTAACACTATCCATTTTATAATTATAGTGCTTAATTCTAAGTTGAATGAATAGCTTTTACTACATCATCTTGTTCAGAGATAAATATGTCTAAGTTGCCAAAGTAAACAGAGAAATTCATATTTTTTTCTCCCTTTGAGTTTTTGTTTTTATTTAGAGTTTCGTAGACGTATTGTCAATTTGCCCAAATAAATGACATATATTTGAGCCAAACTTGACCACAGTATTCTGGTGTACTGACTAGTCAAAATATTGACCACTGGAATAAATAAAACTTGCTGAGCAGTTTGTTTCAGTGGCGCTCTGGACAAACATTTTAAAATGTATAATTTCAAGCTTCTTAAATCTGTCCTCCCTTCAACATAACTAAATACAGCCAATGGTTTAAAAATTCCAAAATACTCTAGCATTGGGGGGTTTGAACTAACAATAAAAACGTAATTGAAGTAGGTAAAGTAGGCAGATATGTCTTGTCTTCAGACCTAGGCAATGACTTAAGCATTATTTGTACCATATTGATGTTTCTTCCCTCTCTTTTTATTTTATTCACATTGATTCTTCCAGTGGCCATGTCTTGACCAACCACACCCATCCCTTTGGACTTCTGGAGAACAGTTTTCTTTTTTAATCCTAGAAAAGTGTTCCAAATGATCCAATATTTTCATGACTCTGACTTTAGCAATTGCTAATGATAGTGTATGTGACCTAAGCCAATCGAAGTCCTTCCTTAAAGTTTTACTTTTAATATCAAGTGTGTGAATGGTGGTCAAGTAAATAAATTGATATAAGTACTTATGTACTTTAATTTTTTTGCCAGATTCTCCCACATTTATTATTAGACATAATTTTCTCCTCTGCTTGATGAAGGTTTTTCACCTTTCTATTTTCTTTTTTTCCCTTTCTTCCATCTTTCCTTCCATTCATTTATTTCTTGTTTTCTTTATTTTTCTCTATCAGATTCATATGTGTTTTGATTATATCACTTATAAAGTTATTCCTGCTCTAAGTAACAGCAGTCTGTATTTTAGGTTTGGTGATTCATTTTACTTAACTCAGTTCTTCATATGCACAGACTCCAATACTTAATGTTAGCAGAATGTTAGCTGTGGACAGCAAGAACTAGGATTTTCAGAGAAAAAATTTTGAGGTATAGAAAGTTTAAGATACAAATTCTCTGGAAAACTAGAAATAAAAATATATCCATTCATTGGATATCAACAATGGGTATAACAAAAATGTATTAAGAAAATAAAGTAATACTTATTTCCTATATAGAAAAGAACAATCATTTTTACAGTTTTTGTAATACTTTCTATATGCCAGCCATGGTACTAAACTCTTCGTACAAGATTTCATTTAAGCATCAAAATAAGTTTATGAGAAGGTACTGTTATCATTATTACATTATAAGCATTGAAACTAAGTACCCAACTAAGGTCACATATCTTCTAAGAGAGAAAACTAGGATTTAAACTAGTGCTTTTTAAAGTTCAGACTCAGTGTTTTTAATTGTGGTGCTGTTTTGTAGTTTAAACATTCTTTTTGTCAACGTGATCTATTTAAGGTAGGCAGAGAAGATATTATTCCTATTTTATTGTCAAGGAAACAGACTCAGAACTGTTAAATGGCTGGCTCAATATAATAGCTAATGATTTCACATTTTGGTAATACAATTTAAAAGTCAAAATCATCATTATTTTTATAAAACTTATTATGACACAGAGACAGTGCATAGAGCTTTGCTGATACTAGTTTACTTCTCAGAACCACCCTATGAGAAAGGTATCACTACTATTTTACTGAAGGGGCAGCTTGGTATCAAGAGGTTCTGCTCTTTCCACTGGGATATATTTTATCAAGAGGCATTTCATAAAATAAGGAAAGGAGTAGAAATATGAAGTAGACAAGATATTCTGAAAAAAATATTTCTGGAAATCTCTACTTTGTGTGATCAAATTTGTAAATACAAGCATGGCACATAGTTTATTTACTCTAAGGCCTGACAGTGCTTCTCAAAATGTATACGAAAGGCCAAAGATGAAGTAAACATCAGCAACACACAAGGAAATGTTGATTATCCACACCTTTTTGAAAGATTTCTCAAGTTTTAAGATTCTTTAATTTCTGTTCATATCCATTCACCTCCCAGAGGTTCACTTCAAGCTGTTCTGTTTGATTGTAATAACTCTTCCTCCAATCACAGGCAATAATAATGAATTCACATAGATCCAAATTGAATTTGTATCTACAATGGGTCGTATTCCTTGCAGCATAGCAAGATTGACAGGCATAGCGTTTGATTACAATTAGAATTTCACTTAGGTTCAAATGAGAGGCTTATCTAACAACTTTTCTGTGTTCACTGTTTGAAATTTCATTAACTTGGCTTCCCTGGCTATGTGAAGAAGGTTGTTTTTGTCTGGTTGTGTTTTTGCTTTTCTTTCTGTCTTTTATTGTTTTAAACAATGAAGCCAAAGACTAGTAAAGAAAATGCCCACAAAATCTCCCAATACTATTATTCAGTTGAGCTCTTTCTAAGTAAATAATAATAGAGTGGCCCCTGCAGCACATGATATTTCCAGAAAGTCATATGGCTGATGGAAAACTAGACTCACTATCTTCTATGGTCTGACAATCCAGAGGAAATTTAAAAGGATGCACAACTTAAAAAAAAAAAATTCCATTCAATTACAATATATTGATTTCCTATAGTATGTTCTGGTTATTGCCTAAAGTCATCTCCAAAGCTTAAAAATGCTTAATGCTTTAATTATCTCCTTCATTGGAGCTTTAGCAATAATAATCTTGTAGCTTTCTGTTAAAATCAATGTAATATCTTGTGTTCAACAAACTGCTTGATGTATTTGCAAGAGAATAGTAGAATGCTCTTAACATTACATGTTATGTCATTAGTAAATGCTCAAGTTTTAGGTGTTTACTCTTTTTCCTCCAATGTTTTCACTTTTCATTTGTCCATGGGCTTTAAA